AATGTTTTATGTATTACGTAACTCTAAATTGAAGTAATCCATATCAAATTAGGCATTGTGGTTATTTAAGAAAATGAAATACAAAATTCATGCATCAGAGTCTTTTAATAGGAAATTTTCAGTTGTAAAGCCAATCAATATGTTTCCTCCTTTCAGGGTACCAGAATGTTCGTTACCCTGTTCACAAGAACTCGCCAGTTTATGCTATACAGAGCCAGTTGAATCGAATCCATACCTTAAATAAATAAACAATTAAGTCTAATAATAACTTCGTAATAAAACCATTTATAAAATAGCATTTTCTGAGTAAGTAAAAGTATGTGAAAATGTTAGTATATCAGGAGTTTTCTGCTAGCGGGTTATTGTAACCTAATAATAACCGAGATTACATAAAAGCCGAGGGATTTACTGACAAACTGAGCTACTTCCAGCTTCTACAAGAAGGAATCTACTCCATAGTCAGAAGGAGGGGCACAATAGAAAAAAACGAACAAATGCGTGGCTTCAGTCAGAAGTTTCACAGGCCACGACACATCTTCCGAGACCCTCAATCAATTGCTATTACAGAAAATCCAAAAAAGACAGGCGCATTGCTATATAACTACAATATTATAGACGAGTCCCCAAGGCGTATAATCATAGCGACTTCAATAATTCTCGGCCCAGCCGGTAGGCGGCAGCACCTGGTGACGGGGAATTTAATGATACTACGCGGTAATATAATACACTAAGTGCTCCTGTAGTTTTTGAATACCGCCTTCTAATATGAAAGCCGTACTCTCGCCAGATCGACCGTCTTGAATTAATAGGTGGCCTCCGAAACAACTTCAGTTCGCAAATGCAGGTTTTGCTAGAAGAGAATGGTATTCCTTTACAGAGCATTCGAGCACAATTACTTTGAACAGAGTAGAAAACAGATGATCACAGTAGCACGACGGATTTTGGCCGCTGTAATAGTGTGATCGTTGGTTTGAATCCCACTCTGTGTCTTTGTGTGTACTGTTGTGCTGTATAGGTAGAGGTTTTGCAAGGGGCTTATCAGCTGTCGAATGAGTTCGACCAAATGCCTCAACACTTTCATAGTTTCACAAGAAATTAATTAAAATAATGAAGATACTTCAGAATCACGGCTTATAGATACTGTGGAGTTTAGTCTGCTAGACGTTACCGACGTTTCAGAGGTGATTATTGCCTCCGTCATCGGAGCGTAGATAATTAACAAACACACCTACAAATATTCTGTACAAAAATATTTGTTACGCGTTTACATTATAAACATGGAGACGATGCGATACTTTATCAAATCTAAAACTTCTTGACGATGGTGAAGAGTCAATTGAATAAAAATTTTCTTGGATATTATCCATCGTCTAATAAATATAAAACGTAAAAACGACGTTTGAAGACGGAGATAGAGTCCCATCTCCGAAACGTCGTTTTTACGTTTTATATTTACCAGACGATGGATAATATCCAAGGAAATTTTTATTCAATGCGATACTTTGTTGATATTTGCAAATTTAACGTAGTCAGAATCTGTACTTGTGGAAATTACACTCAGAAGTAGATGAGTAGATTATATAATTACCATTAACTTTTTTTATCTTCTTTTTTCACGAGATGTTTTTCCTTTGTTCATTTGCTCTAAGAGCTAATCTTATCTGAGTGCTTACCTCTCCTAAGCGTTGCGAAGAGCCCATTTAAATGGCATTATACATCAGGGAGACATTTGCGTAAACATGCAGAAGCCTTCATCATAACCATTCGCTACAGCAGCGCTCACTGCGGAGGAACTGACTTTGCTTGAGTCACAACTCCAACACAAACTTCGACCCCAAGGTCCAAGTCTTACAACTGGAAGGGATCTTAAGATAATTCTCATGCGCCCTGCTCCAGCTTTACAATCTACCTGCTTCCTTAAGATATATACTCTGATCTCCTTCTGTGTCTTCCAAGTGGCGTTTATCAAGAAATTTCCTCGACAATATTCTGTTTGAATTCGTTGCGTCTTTACGAGTTTCAAAATGCAGAATAAGGAAATATACAAGATGCAAACTCAAGCTGAAGAATATGGCTATAGAATGTTGGTAATTATAATTAACACTAACAACTGGAAAGGAAATATAAGATTTAATCGAGAATTCTAGTTTGTTTCTGTTTGGTTTTAATACAAAATTAATAGCTGAGAAGTTTGCGATATTTTGTAGGCAGTCTGAGATAAGATGTCTTTACGTAAAATAAATCCTACTTTTCTTAGACAAAAATTATTTTGATCGAATAACTAGTTTTTGCTCACCTGTAATATTCCAAAGCCCCTACGTAACGAGTCTCACATTTAAGAAAGGGACTTCATTGTACGTACTGAAAGAATCAGATATTGTTCAGCGTGGATTCAGAAACATTACCGTTCTAAACATCGCACTTGAATGTCTTCATAAACCTTAAAGCAGACTTTTTACTTCGTATCACTAAATCAAGAACATTCATTTTGAGAAGGTATATGAACCAAAAACACAGTGCTCAGTGTACATTTCTGTATTAATCTGTACACCTGGTAATAATAGCTACCACACATTATTATTTGGTACTTACTAATTTGTATAAAAATGGTTTCCTAATGTATTTTTTGTTGTGAAAGTATTGATACATTCAACTCTGTGTTTATTGTGTGATCTACAACCTCAGTAGTTCTCCGTAAAACATAATTCTGAATCCTATCTATAATACTAGGATTCTACTCTTCGGATTAATTTTAATGTCACAAGATTAGCAGAAATTTTGGGGCTCACAATGTGTTTTATTTTAAAAACCTTTCAGCAGCTTAGAATATATGACGTCAAATGATGAAATGATTATTGAATAATGACGCAGAAAGGATGTGGAAGGAAGCGGTCATAGTCTATTTTAAACGTTTTATCGCGAAATTTGCTCTGGAGGGACAAAATCCTCAGTTAGGAAAACCAGTCTCCGAATCAAAAACAGAGACCGGGAACTCCCGATTACGAAGCAGAGTGCTAACCACTCGGCCATGATCTTTGATGAAATAATCGGCTGAACATCATTTAGTTCGCTGATTGGTTGATTGATTCACAGACAAGCTATTTTGCTAGTCATGTGACATACTATTCAAGACATAATACCTTAAAAATTAAACTTTAAACTTTAAAATTGTAGTACATTTGCTGTCTGTTCCTAAGCCAGCGGTGCTGAGTCACAGGACTGATGCTTGGTCTTTATGAAGTGAAATAATGTATTTCTAACACCACAGCTGGTTCAGGAAAGATGCATAAGGTTTATCAGAACCACTGAAATGCTACACGGTTAGTACAATAATATTTATGGTTGGATTTTTTTATTTTTACCAGTGTATGGTTAGGAGGAAACGTGTTAAGTCTCTTTGATATGGAGAAAATCAGTTCATAAATCGTCATATTAATGCACATGAGTTAAATAAGACGCTTAGAATACTGTCTGGGACACGTAGGTGCCTTGTTAAAGCTCTCTGATCACTGTTCGTCCTTTTTCCGACATGTCGCTGTCTCCCAGTTAAATACAATAACAAGATGGCTGTGGAATAAAATTGACATCGATAGGAGGTTTGGTGGTAGAAAGAGGAGCCCAGGGATGACAAAATAGGGGATACGAGAGAGAGAGGTTATTCACATTACCGTGTATTGTTCAGATAAAAACCGTGTCTCCACATGTTTTACACAAAAATACATTATGTGGAGGTTATATCCAGGGAGTAAGTTTATAACTGTATTGGGACACGACAGAGTCGCCTAATTGAATTGCTTTCCAATTTTC